AGAGAGAGAGAGAGAGAGAGAGAGGGAGAGAGAGAGACAGACAGACAGACAGACAGAGAAAGAGAGAGAGTGGGGTGGGGGCCGGAAAGCCAGACACAAAAGCAAGAATGTCTGAAGTAATATGTGCAAGAGACGCAGCGGGTTGTCCCTTTCTTTTACCGTTTCACATTTTAGAAAAAGGGAAGAAAGGAAAGACAACCAACCTCTATATCAAAAGTAACCAATTAAGCAGGCGAGTCTCGAGACCAGTTAGCTTTGACTTGGAGGTATTTGACGGTATATAATAAGGCGTACCTTCTGTCAAAACGGTAAGCCTGTAGTCTGTATCCTCACACTTATCTGGGGAGAGGTATGTCAACGAAAGTGTTATAAGTGAGCCGTGGAGCGGGAGTAAACCAGATCTTTTGACTTTCCCGGAAATTTTTTGTTTGAGTAGGTTTTTTACGGCACTATCGACTCAATAATTTTTTATTGGTCATGTAAGTGTCATTTCCCGGAAAGTAATGTTGTATATTGTAATATGTATATCATAATAATATGCGCTGATCCAATCAGTCAACCTCGCCCCTTAATTGTTGTGAACAAGTTTCTTGCAACGATTCAAACTAAATCTGGCTGTGGGTAATTCGGAGTTCCAAAGTCACGACACGGTGGAATTAGGCGGTCGTCAACTTTGGGGCATATGGAGTTATTGATATAACCTTAAAGCTTGTGCACTTGCCTTGAAGTTTATTGATTTTTTTAAATATCTTTTTTTTTTTAAGGATTCAAGATATTTGCGGTTGGAATTGGTGAAGGTTGCCTGGCATCAGGAAAAATTAGCGAGAAAATGGCCTGGTTTGCTTTGTTTTGTGTTGTTTTTAAATAAAAACACGCAGGAATGTGTTTTATAGGTGTTGAGGCAAAAAAAAACAACAATATTGATAAAAATTGTCAAACGGGCAACATTTTTTTTTTTAAGTTTGTTTCTTCGATTTCATTATTTAGACGAGTGCCTAATTTTTCCACGATGCCATATTTATGACATATTTTATAAGAAAAACATACTGAGGTAAAACAGGGAACAAATTAATTTCCTCTTCCTTTGTATTGCGGTGAATTAGCCAAATACTCAGAGCAAAACACAACAATTATCAATTACAATAACGCAAATATTATTGTCTGCCAAAGGGAAAAATTGCACTGCCTTTATTCATCATCATTATCATCATCATCATCATCATCATCATCATCATCATCATTTCGTTTTCAACTTCATCAGATTTGCACAAACTTAAGACTATCAACAATCTTGCTGTCAGTAAAGCTGAATATGAATTATAACTTGTTTTAGCAGTCTTTAATGTTGTCGATACATGTACAGTATTGTTACTGCGCATAAT